TCTCCTCCTAGGGATTTTGATTGATCGGCTTCAAACTCGGTCAGTCTGTTCATAAGGCATGTCTCATCTAAAGTTATCTAAACGGTGAGTTTTTGAGTATGCTGAAGGGGGTTAGCAGGGGTCAAAGTTCACCTACTCGCCATAAAAACATAAACTGCTATATCTCCTACACAGAAACTCACAGAGGCACCAAAGTTTCTGTGATTGATCATCATCGGGTCTCCTACATTACCCTATGGTCGAATGATGACATCACTTAGGCCACGCCCCCTGAGAACAGGAAGTGTAATGTTTTACTGTGAACGTTCGCTATCCGACCCCTTTGACCTCATCAACATGAAACTGTGCCCAGACACCGAAGACATGTTGGTGTATTGAGGATTCCAACCCCGACCAGCTACGATAGAGCAGGTGGGCATGGCGGCGTGGCGAAGTTACCTGTAACGCCATCGCCATACGTTTGGCTCTCAATACCACATTTTCGGGCTCAGCTGCTGCAAACTCACAAGGATGAATATTTATCCACTCCCCGACTGGAATCCATCACAATATTTGTAGGGCATGGCCTAATTTCTCTATAGCGCCCCCTAGAAAACAGCAGCCCATAGGTTATGTTGTTATTAATTATTTAAATATACATTATTATAACTTTTATATATATATATATAAGTTTATTTTGTGGGTTAAAGTACAAACATTCATTCATTTTTGCTAGAAATAATACAAACAAAGTCATTCAGCAAAACTTATGACACAGCGAAGTAAGAACACACTGGGGTCAGTGTTGATGGAGTACCACTGGCACCTTGTGGAGAAATACTGGTACTGCTAGTGCAATACCAGTATTGCGACAGCAGGAGGCAGTGGTACTCCATCAATGAGAAAACAGATCGACGCTACGTAATAACAGTCAGCCGGCGACAGCTGGAGCTGCAAAGTTTTCCTGAACATTTTGCTTGCTTTTTGGAGCCACAGAACTGGACTACGCTCAACATTTTGCTTGGATTTTGGAGTTGCAAATACGAACCACGCTTTGGAGCAAGAAGGCTCTGTTGGACTGGAGTTGGAGAAGTTTAATGGGCTCTTTGCACCTCAGCTTACACGTTCGGGAAACACGGCTGAAATGTTTTTTCCAAGGTAACAATTAATAATGTACATCGATCCGAAACCCAACAAGTAAGGCAAAGAAAGGTTTAAGATGTTCGCCTCGTTATACATTCACAGATATGAAGGTGAGTTTTATTTTCTTTAAACTGCTAGCACAAGCCTGCTAGCTTTCTAGGAAAAATCTGCTATTTAATTATCTAAAGATTTCTCAGCCATTCTAACGGACACTGTTTGTGCCTTATTTTCAAGCATATTACGTGTGTTTATTGTTAACTACAATAAAGCAGCGGGGAGGGGGAGGGGGAGCAGATTACAGTTCAGACTTTTTGCTTGAAGTATGACGAAGAAAAAACGAGCCCAGAGCTTACTCTGGTATCGGAGTTCTAGTTCAGCTGACTGTTCAGATTCAGAGTTATTACTTTTAGAAAAATATGGCCGTGTTGCTTAAGGTTTCTGTGTTATTTCGTTTTATACTTTTGCATGCTTGTTGTGAAGGGCTCATTAAGACAGTGTTTAGAGCGGTGTGTACGGCGTTAGCTTCAAGTGGTAGCTTTAACTTGTAGCAACGAATATTTACAAGCTGTCTTAATTGAGGATCGCTTGGAAATCCATGAAAACTTAAACAAAGTACATAGTATTGTTTTATTTGTGTCTTAAGTACGACTTTGTCTTTTATAGCAGTCATAGTTTCTGAAAGTGGAATAAAGAGCCGCATTCGGGTATACAGTTGTGACGTCAGCGCGGCAGGTGCAAAGAGCCCATTGCTGTTCGTTTAAACAGTCGTAACTCGCGGTGCGGTGAGTAATTTATTCTTCCTGCTGGTTCTGGAAGCCGTCATGTTTGGAACAGTTATTCTGAGGAGGATGCTAACCCAATGCCTGAGGCCTGCAACGTTTTTAATGCTAACGAAGCGCTTTACTAATTCAATAAACTGAATAGTGTGTTTGATACATCCAGTTTCATACATTCAGAGTTGTTTGTTATTATGTATAGAAGATGTTTAAAATGTCGTTTGAAAGAGCTCTGAGAAAATGCTAAGTATCTTTTTACAGATCCATTGGGGTTGTAATATTTAGTTGCAGCACTTCCTGTGATTAATACCTAATTAATGGGTGGGATTGAGCCTGTGCTATTGTTCTAAAGTGCTGAAGTTAACTGTGCTCTGTTATTGTGCATTGCCCTTGGTTTATTACTGAACAGTACGGTTTATTAAACTGATACATCTTAACCTTCACCATTTTCCTGACTCATTTCACGATAACGTCAAAGTTGCACTGCATTTACATCTCAGTTGTAGTTAACATCAAGCATGTGGGTGTGGGTTAGTGTAAAACTTTCACTATTTACCATGAAACATCAACATTAAATGACTTCCAAATGCAAGATCACAGCTGCATCATCACACTTCCTCTGTCTTTCTAGAGAACAGCCCTGAACACATTTCCATGGTCACTTGATGACCTCACTGTAGCCCGCCCACTTTTAAGAGGCAGTCACATGTTTTTTCTGCTGAATGTTTTACTGTTATTCTATAATTTATATGGGTTTTCATCATGTGAATACTGACTAAAAAACGATAACATGATGAACTCTATGAATGCTGCCTGCTGACCGAACAGCATTGGGGTGTAGAAATGACGAACTGCATTACTTCGCCACGTGCATATGATCGGCTCTAATGACACGTGGATCATCGGACTGGCGCCAAATTGAAAACGTATGACCTTTGTTGACCTCTAAAGAGCAAAACAGCATTGAAATGTATTTTGACTCCACTGCGCCCCTACATTAATCCGCAGCTATATTTCTTCGCTAAACCAATGAATCTATACCACATTTTTTTGCATCTTGAAGGATAGCCGCCGAATGCATAGATGCGTACCGCCTGGTGGACGGGCGCGGAAAACTGCGCAACAACTTCTGTCTTAGCACGTGCGCAGCGTTGATGGAAACTGAGCAACAGCTTCCGCGGTGCGGGCGGAGGCGCTGAAAACTGCGTGAGAGCTTCTGTGGTGGCTGGCGTGAGGCGGCGGTTGCTCGTACCCCGCGGTGGCAATAGGCCGGAGCGGCGCTTGGCTGCGAGGGCCGTTCGAGCTGCTTGCAGCTTTAATATTCTGGTTGCATCCTTTTGTGTTTTAGTTGGATTTTGGTTTGTAAAGCACTTTGTGCTGCACTATTGCAAATTGTTTTCTATTTCAAGCTGCATTTTAAAGGGTAGGAATATGTGTGCTCTGTTTTATAAAATAATAATAATAATAATAATAATAATAATAATAATAATAATTAAATACCTATGTTACCTTCAGGTATCAAAATACTATATATCAAATATGAAACAAAATCTTACTTCTTTGAAATTGTCCTTTTGAATTTAATTCAGATTAACTTGTTTATTTGCTGGAGTTACAAGTAACTCTTTGTTTTAGTCCTTTTAATTTTGAGTGTTTGTAAAACCTTGTTTTTTCCCTGATGCAGTAGAGTCTCTGGGTGGGCAGCTCCAGGCCTCGAGGGCCGGTTGTCCTGTCACTTTAAGATGCGTTTCTACTTCAACACTGGCGGTTGGAGTTGGTGCTGGAGATGATGGAGAGGCTGGAGCTGAGATGGTGGAGTCCTCTAGTCATAAAGAAAGTTTCAGCTGCTTTGTTTGCTCCTTCAGATGAAACAACATAGATATGAATTATGTTAGAGGAACAAAACACAAGTAGCATTTCAGTTGAAGATTAGAGGAGCAAAGCACCAGCAGCTTAGTGTTTGGTTGTAAGATCTGTGGACATTGGGACAACAGAGCTGTGGGGGTTGGTGGTCCTGTCTGGGCCAAGTTCCAGTCCAGGCCTGAAAAAACATTTCACAAAATAAAAAGAGGATCTCACAAAAGAGAAGTTTGTTTCACAACCGTACTTCCACTAGCTTATTGAGTCATTCCTTTGCTCATTAAATATTTTAGCAAATCGATTGCACAATGCATGTGAAACATTTTTGTACTGTTCATTGTCTCCTCCCTTGGGTCAAATGAAACATTTCCATTTAAGGATGTGAACTCAGGTCAAATACTCATTAGATAAAAGAAGAGAATGAAAGAGAGAGAGAAAGAGAGAGAGAGAGAGAGATGCTTCCAGGCTTAAAACATGCTTCCTTTATGATTTATCCAAAACATGAAGGAAGTAGGACTGGAATTTGCCACAATGCATATTGACGAGCCACAAAACTTCTGGAAAATGTTCTTTTGTCAAATGAAACAAAACTTTATGACCACAAAACTCAAAATGAAGAGTGAAAACTCTGTCCCACTGAGAAAATGGAGGAGTCTTGGCTATGTTCGGGCTGCTTTGCTGCATCTTTAATCTGTTCAGGATACAATAAAATCTCAAGACCATAAAAGGCCTTAGGGACAGAAATGTTCTTCTGGTGTCAGAAAGCTTGACCTCCGTCACAATCAAAGGCCTTCCAGCAGGATAATGACCTGAAACATGCAGCCAAGAACACGCAAAAGCAAAACAACGGATTTTTCTGCAAATGCTACTGAACATCTGAGGACAAACCGAAAAACAAACTTCAAACCTGAAAGCAGTTTGGCCTGAATACTTGTGGACAGTTACTCTGTCAGTGTTTCATAACCTGGGGTTGCCAAAACTGTGTGCATGTGCATGAATAACAATAACAGACTTTAAAAAAACAGGAATGTTTTCACTCTGTAACTTAGAACAAATTTAATTTACTCTCTGAGGAAGAAACAAAACATTCATGTTCCATAAGTGATTGTTGATCAGAGTATGCAATTTGCATACGGTCACCCCTTCTTTAATGTTTCAGTTTCCTCCTTTAAGATGTGATGTTAAGATAAATGTGTCTATAAAAGCCGACTTACCGTTTTTGTATCTGACCTGAAACTTCCTGATTCAGAGCTCAGAGTGAGAGGCTGATTCTTTTCTGCAAGCCCTTTTTGCTTAACCTCGTCCTGTTTTTCTGGTTCTTGGTTGTACTTTGATTTTGTATGTTTCTTTTTTCAGGAGGTGATAATTATCTCCCAGTGACCTGCAGCCATGAGGATCCTGCCTCTGCCTCTGCTTCTCTGTGGCTTGATGCTTCTGAGCAGCGTTAATGGTGAGTATTCTGTCAGTAAGTGTGAGAAGCAAGAATCCTTTGAGTTGTGCAACTAAAATTATTTGACTGAAGAAAATCAATGTCATTTTTAACATTAAAAATTTCCATCATTTATAGTTCCTGAGACTCTATATTTCTATATTATTGGTTCACTTTCTTTTCAGGATTTTCTTACACCGAGTCAAAAGTACTATGGTACTGCAGTGTGAAAATTAGAACTTTTATGCCATATTAGTGAAGATTAGTTTGATATTTTTCAGGGCAGTATTCACTATTAGATAAATGGTGTCATAGATAATGTTTTTTATATTTTTTCCCACAAAGAGATCAATGGACATAGAACTTACTGCCCTCATGGTTGGCGTCTGATCCATGGACGCTGTTTCAAGTATGTCCCGAGACGTATGACTTGGGCCAAAGCTGAGGTACGACTGGACTATGACTCATGTTTATATTCTTTAATGTTGCGTCTTCCTAAATAAAAAGCAGATAATTATATTCACAATTGTTTACTCTTCTTTCTTCCGATTGATTGGCAGAGAAATTGCATTTCCATGGGAGGAAACCTTGCATCTGTGCAGAGTTCTGATGAATACCATGGGATTCAGGGGCTCATTTTGCAGGTCACACATGAGATGAGAGAAGCGTGGATCGGCGGCACTGATGCAGCTGAGGTTAGCATTACCCAGTATTACTCTATTCATCAAAACCTCCTCAACACAGACTCTAAGAGGTTTTCTCTTGATGCGTCTTGCAGGAAAATCATTGGCATTGGTCTGATGGGACGCTGATGACGTTTACATACTGGTGTCCCGGAGAACCCAACAATGCTGCTTATCACCAGCACTGCATGCAAATGAATGACGCAGGTAAAACTGTTCTTTCTTTTAAGCACGATAAAGTCACTTCTTATAGATTTCTGATCACATGCAAAAACATAAAATAAATAAAGATATATTTTATTTTTAGTGGTGGAAAGTTTTTTAAGTTTGAATGCCCCTGTTACTTTTAAAAAGCTTCAGGCTTTTTTTGGTCTAAAACTGTTTTCTGTCTTTTTCTCTTACAGGAGAAAAGTGCTGGGACGATTACAGATGTGTGACCCGCCTACCCTCTGTCTGCGTTTTGAAGAAATGAAGCAGGGCTGAGCTGAAGACATGAAGAATCTTCCTCATTTCACGTCTTTTATTTTCCATCTATGCTGCTTGACGGATGACGCGACGCAGCACATCGACAGAGGAACTCTGTCTTGCTTCTCATGCGATCAGAACAAATGTACTGTAAAGTAACTGCTTCATGTACTTTCTTGCTGATTAAACTTTCATTCTTGTTCTTTGCAAAATTAAATGGCAGGCATTAAAATATGCTGGTCTGGATGTGTTTGTGTTTGGTGTGTAAAATGTTTTATTAGTTTCAGCTGGCTGGGTTCTCAGCTGCAGCTCAATCAAGTTAACTTTATTTTTATTGTACATTTTAGCAACAAAGCAGATCAAAGTGCTTTACATTATGAAACCATAACAATGAGAAAACACTGTAAAAGGTTTGAGGCACATTTAGTTGTTTCTACTAACTTCTAGACTATAAATCAAATAAATCTTGCAAATTTGACATTTTGAATTGAAATGTGTGTTTGTAAAAAACAAAAAAAAGACTCATTAAAATGTCATTGTGAGGCTAATGCAATCAATCTGAAAGTTGAGTTTAAACCTTTACACAAAACATGGACCAGTTCTGTAGCAGTGAAGGATCTGGGATGGACTAAACCAAAAAACTTTTGTTTGAATTATTTAGTTTTACTCCTTTAGGTTTCACAAGAAAAGAAAAAGAAAATTTTAAGGATGGATAAAATTGGTTTGGCTGTTAAAGACTAATTTTATTTGAAAAAGGGCAAAAATAACTTGTTGCTTTGAGGAGATTACTGACCACTGAACTGCCCGTACAGGTGCGCCCTCTACTGGTGCAGCAAAATATTTTTTGCAATTCAGATCATAGATTCTGTTCTTCAGTGCATTGGATAAAAATGTTGAATGTAGCAGTTATAGGAACAATAAACTGGGATTTGGGAGGGACTGTGGCCAGTCAGAAACACAGAATGCAGAATAGTTTTTTTATTTTTTTTTACTTTGTTCAAACAATAAATTCTTCCGTCTTGTATGAAACTAAAATCCAGTTTCTCTCCTGATTATTAAGCCTGCAGTATGTAATTTCTGAAATTTTTCTATATTTTTAAAAAAATATCACCGTGTTGTGAGATTTTCATATGAGACAGATAATCTGTAAAGACATTGAACTCCCCCACGACCTCCCAGTGTTACTACCGTTGTCTGCAAAAAGCACCAAAAACAACCAATCAGAGCCAGGAGGCGGGTCTTAGCGCTGTCAATCAACCTCCTTTACACTGATCTGAATGAAAATGGTGGAAAAATAACTTCCTACAGAGGAAAACCATTCTACTATCATCGATGTTCAGGCTAACTTAGTAAATGGTCAAAGTTGAAAAGGTCAACTATATATTAATATATTGTTTCCTAGAAGAGTGTAACGATAAAGCAAACTCAGCCAGAACCCAAAACGCAGCCAACACAGAAGTGAGTTTCACCAGATGTTTTAATGACAAAATAATAGTATAGACGGGGCTGAACGGGGTGGGATGAGACGAGCGGATAAGGGAGGAGGAATCCACACAGGGGACAGGGATCCAGCCAGGGGTGGGACCAAGTAGGAAGAAAGGACTACAGAAAGTCTTGGGGGCTCAGGGAACAAACGGACGACAGGGCCAACCCGAGACAGAGTAGTGAGACGATCTGGGGTCATGCACGGTAGAGCCACAGGCAAAGATAATCCAGCAAACAGCAAGCAGGAGGCAGGGTCAGCAACAGGCAGGGTTCTTCAACAGGAGGTCCGAAAACTTGCAGCAGCCGAGGGACAAGGCAGAATCTGTGGTCAAGGACAGGCAGGATCAGAAAACCACAAAACTCTTCGAAACATGAAACAATGGCTTGAAAGCTGTGACTAGAGCAACAGACGATCTCGCACTGAGCAGGTGAAAAGCAGCACAGTGCAGGTGAGAGTGATGAGCATTCAGCACAGAGGGTGGAGCAGAAATGCTGAAGTCATGACAAAGAGTGAATGAAAGTGGGCTAATGGAAGAAGTACAAAAAGCTAAAAAAAAAAAAAAGTTCAAAGACTGAAATGACATTGATACGGTTATTGTGAAACCAACATTTACTGTATTGTTAAATCTCACCTGTATAAATAGCTGATTATTTTTAGTTGAAGCTAAACGAAGATTGCTAAGTTATTTTAAGAATACAAAAGTGGTGATGAGCAAATTTGAACAAACGTAAAAAAGAACCAATATTAAAGATAATCTGACTGAAGACTTCCACTGTATTCACTTTAACTGCTGATGATGTTTTTAATATGCTTTAATTTTTCTTGAATAGCAAAATAAAAAACAGGTTTGACATTATGAGTTTTAGCTGAAACTGTTTTATTTCTGTTCTAAACTAATTCATTCTTTAGAAACAAGGGCAACAATAACTGGATGCTTTAACCAGGTTATTGATCAGTTAACTGCTTCCTCTAGTGGTTTAGAAAAGTTTTTATACTTTTATATCATCCATTTGATCTTAATTTAAAAGATAACAGCTAAGAAATGAACAATTTGATATATCTGCTGTAACATCAACACCCTAAAGCCTAAATGGATGTTTATCAAACTTGAGTATTTATTCTAAATTTTTAGAATTATATATAAAATTTTGTTCTAATTATTAAATGAGGGAAGTTGTAAACTCATAGCAACAAAGTTATTACTCTCAATGCAGTAGGCAGCTTTTATAAAAATATGGGACATAATCTGTGAAAAACTTGAGAAATATTTTATAAAAGTTTCCTACTGTAGTTTTATTAAGTTTAATGTGTTACAGACGTCCCATCTGTTCTAAATAAACGAGATAATGACAGGCTGATGATTTGTTGAGGCAAGGCAGGATGGTTCATGCTGCCCCATTTATTCACAAGCTAATTAATTACAGTGATTTATTTTCCATGAAAGGAAAAACAAAGCAAAGCAAGAATCCATGTCATAAGAGAACAATATACTAAAATACACAATCAAGGCAAAAACCTCAAAACAAACTCATTTGTCAGTTTGTTTGATCAAAAGTTTTAATAAACACAAATGTTTAATGTGTAAACCAGAGTTCTTGTTTTGCCATTATTTCCAGATAACGTCTCTTATCAATCAAGGAAATGTGATTTATTTCCCTGTGGAAGGATTTCCCTTTTCCCCAAGGTCAGACACGACGTTCTGCAGGATGGTCATAAACTCCTCCTCTTGTTTTATATCAAATATTCAGACATAAGCAGTTAAACTGTAAACGTCCTGGTTGCAATGCAGACTTAGAAAATCTAAAGTTTGTATTTGATCATGCAGAAAAGATTATTCTGGTTTGATCCTGACATTTCAGAGGAATGTGAGACATTCACATGCACTGCTAAGATACATGCACATCTTAGCAGTGTGCATGTATTATTAAACATTACTACACTTTGATTCAATGCAAATTGTCACTGATCAAGTAAAAATGACAAGATCACCTCTGAAAAATAAAGTGTTGCAATATAAAAGTTTGCACAAGGCACGTTATAAAAACCACATTTGGACTTTGATAACTGATAGATGGAAACAATGTTTGTTCAAAAGATAAGAAATCAAGAGGGGGATATTTTTTCAGAAATTCAGACGCCAGCTTCCTTGTTTTGAGGCTGGAAGAAACAGAATATAAGAGCCGCTGTGTTTCTGGTGCAGCGCATTCAACCTGCAGACCAACTGTAAACGTGGAAACTTCCTGTGGTGTGATTGGTCGAAATTATTATCTCTTTACTGTCTTCAACCTGCATCATCAACGCCATGATGCGTCTCCTGCTGCTTCTTTGTGCCTTGTTGCCTTTGAGTCAACCTGCTGGTTTGTATGCATATTATTACTACTGCTTCACCAAAGTAAATATTATTCCCACCTTTAATCTAATGTTAAATTAAATTATACCAGATATAAATATTTTTATATCTGGTATAATTCTGTAATTCATTGCTGTGTTTAATGCAGTGCTTCCAGTTGCTGTGGATGGGGCTGAGAGCCATGAGGCTCTTCCAGAAGGTGAGGCTGTATTTCATCAGATTCATTATTTTTGTAATGTTTTTTGAAACAGCTTCCAGATGTATTTCTAAACATCTGTCTTTCTGACTACATCCAGTGTTAGAAACAGGCCTAATCTTGCTGCTGATGTTTTCATCCAGAGTAGTTTGATGAAGTGCTTTAATTAGCGACTCTTCTCTGTTTTAATATAAACAGTGAAAAACATATTTCAGATGGATAAACCGATACGTAGATCGGTTTATCCATCTGCGTTGCAAATTCGACTTTTTGTGCCTTTTGAACTAAGTGCTTTATGCTTGTGTTGTACAACATTTATGGATTCTGTTTTGGCTCTGATGGGTTCTGTTTGCTACACCCAGAGCAGTTATTGTGAACATAATGCCAACAAAACAGGCTAGAATAAAATTTTAACAGAAGATTTTAGGAGACAGAATAGCAAATCAGACACGTTTTGTGAAGTAGACCCAATACTGAGCATAAACACTAAAATACTGTGATTTTAGTTCATTTTCCTTGTACATATTATTAATGTTAAAAATTTGAATTATATCCAGACACCAGAGAAAATCCTGAGACTGAGGACATTTTTGCAGAAGGTAAGTCTACGTTTGCCAATTATAAGCATTACATTCTGAATAAACCAACAAAATGAATTTACCATTCAAACTTTGCCAGATCATTTGACTCTTCATGAAGAGGAACCTGGAAACTGGACAGATGCAGAAGGTTGGTGCTTTTTTTCTTCTGCTTCATTAAAAAACACAGTGATTTTCATCCTCTTCTCCTCGTGTTTTTGCAGAACCAACCTTTGAACCTGTGGATGAGGAAGCTTACCTGAAGGGTGAGTTTACCTTTCCTGATAATGTGGGTTAAAGTTTTGTTTTGCAGCAAGAGGAACAATTTAGTTTCAACCAAGACACCTGAATTCAGAAAGTTCAGCTTCCTTCCTGAAGAAAGGCTCTCTAGCAAGTGAATAACTTAAATAACTAAAATCATCAAAAATAAATAACAATAAAACAATCACTAGTCTTTTCATTAGCCCTAATCCTGATGTCGGTTTTTAAACATCTGAATGTTGCAGAGTGGCGACTAAATCAGACTGAGACGTTTCCTCAGGGACACGGTGAAGCAAACTTAAATATGAAATCAGTTTTTTAACACAGTTCAGGTTCAGTTTTTGTATCCATGCTTATTTTTATGTCTTTTATTGCATGAAATATTCCCATGCATTTATATCAGAAAGCAATGATTGTTGATTTTTAAGACTGGATGAATTTTTTCCAGTTCCCGGCTGAGTTGCTTTTTCCTCGACGTTTTTGTCCCAGCAGTGCATAATTAAAACTACCAGCTGAATATTAGAAATAATTTACCTGGGACTTTGATTGTTTGTTTTAAGCTCTGAATGGAACAGTCCAACGTTCAGGATCCTGTTCTTCTGGCTGGACCCGGGTCAAAGGTCGCTGCTACCACGTCTTTCCATTCGCTGCCACTTGGCACAGAGCTCAGGTGACCTTTGATTAACTTCACTTGTATTTTCTCACCAACCATCTCCTTCTTGCATTAGTGTAACTGGTCTCCTCTTGTCCACTGCAGTCGAACTGCAGGTCCATACTTGCACACCTTGCATCAGTCCATGACTACGAGGTGAATAATCAGCTTGTGAGGATGATAATAGCTGCAGGCCGGGGGCGATCTGCAGTCTGGATTGGAGGCAATGACATACAATGGGTAATTTCACATGTGCACCTTATGTGTCAGTCCTTCAGAAAAATACATTTAAGGTAAAGCTCAGACTGCTTCACCTTCCAGGATGGCCGCTGGCGGGTGGACGGAAGCCTTTTCGCTATAGAAACTGGTGTCGATTCGAACCCAACAACTTCTTTGATCAGGACTGTTTGCAGATGAACTTCCGTCGTAAGTGAAATGATCCCATCTAAGTGACGCTAATTGTAAATCAATCAATCAATCAATCAATCAATCAATTAAATTTCAAAGTGCTTTACATCAAAAACACAAAACACAAGTCATGTAACATAGAATAAAGACTAGCCTCAGTCCGGTTCTTCACGTAGGATTCTAATTCCGAGGACAGAAAGTTTTACTCACAGAGAGAGATGAGCACCACTCACTCTTGTATGCACACACACACATACACACACACACACACACACACACACACACACACACACACACACACACACACACACAACACACACACACACACACACACACACACACACACACACACACACAACAGCAATGACACAGCAATACACAACAAACAATTTCCTATCAGTGCGAGGATTCTTCCTGATGGGAAGTCCTCATAAAAAGAGGGGCTCTAAAAACACCCGTCTTGTAGATTTTAGTTGAACCAACTGGGATTCAACACCTTCTGGGAATTTAGTCAAGTTGTTCTGACAAGGCCTCCAACCTGGGAGTTTAGCTGAGAACTATCAGCTGGGCCTCCAACCCTTTGGTACTTTAGTCAAAATACTATATGTCAAGGACACCAACCTAGGAAAAAAAACATTGTTACATATTACATTTCAAATACAGTTCTGAACAAGTGTGTTTTTAGTTGAGATTTAAAGGAAGTCGGGTTTCCACTGTTTTACAGTTTTTTGGAAGTTTGTTCCAAATTTTTGGTGCATAGATGCTGAAAGCTGCTTTCCTCTTTTGGTTCTAATTGTAGAGATGATCAGGCTCTTACACAAATTTACTGATTGTTTCTACATTTTAGATTTCAGATCTTTCTACAATTCAACATGTTTTTGTTTGTTTTCCTGCAGGGCACAGATGCTGGACGATGAGCAGTGTTACTTTCAAAGACCATTTATCTGTGTCAGAAACTTCTGATGGCTATTTGATTAGAAATGATGCACTTTGTGTGTCAAAAACACAGAGGCGTTGGTGATCAAGTTGGTGTTTTTCTTACAGAGTGTCAAGACAATAACAAGGATAAAAAGTATGAATATCTGTATTTAAATACAGATATTAAAGACAAAAAAGAAACTCGTTTAAATGTATTTGTCAGATTGTTTGATCAAACGTTACAATAAATAAAAATGTTTAATGTGTAAACCAGTGTTACTTATTATTTCTGCATAACTATCACATAAAATCTGTTGTCAAAAAAGGAAATGTAATTTATTTACGTATGGCAGCCTTTTCCTTTTGCTCAACATCAGATATGAGGTGTTAAGGCTTTTACATTATGTTTTTACTTTCAACTTTAGAAGATCCTCCTCCTGTTTTATCTTGACAAAAATGATCTGAATAAAAACTCAACTTTGATTTGATCATTTGAGATTAATCATATATATTCTCAGGCCCACATCAACACATGATTAATACTTCATAGTTGCATGCTGTTGATTGTGACTGAGTGGAAACAAAGTACCAGGAGATGTAAAATATTTAGTTTAGGTTGCATGTAAATGCAGCTTTTGGAGTGAATATTAAACATTGGGATAATTATGTGGTTCACAAATAATAGAATTAAAAAAAACGTGTGACTTGAAAAATGGGCATCTTCTAATAGTATATGAAATAATTATTTTTTTGCTTTTGACTACATGTCGATGTACCTCTGGGCAACTAAATCCCATATTGCCTACCGGTCTGCGTATCGGTGTATGAATGTGAGTTCGTTTGTGAATGTGACTCTAGTGTAAAGCGCTTTGAGTTCAGAACATTTACCATTTTTTTTTATACCAATATATTCCATATTTTTCAACTGGTTATTTGTAAGACTGTAAAAAAAGTGCAATGTTTTCAATTAGTATTAATGCTCTACATTATGTTGCGTTTGCAAATAAAATCATAAAATAAATTGTATTGGCACATATCAGCTTGGGAAAAATACGAATGTGGTTTTGAGGCCCAGCTGGTTTATTCATATGGATCCATTGCAACTTTTACCTGGAAAAAAAAACCTACTCAGCAAAGTTATTAAAATGCATGAAAAGTTTTCAAAAGAATGACCCATATCCAGTTCTTGCTACTCAAAACGTAAAGCTATTAAACAAAATTACTTTTTTCTTTTCAGATTATCACATGGAGTTTCCATTAACATTCAAACTACTCATTTCATTACTTTGGATATAGTAGTCCACCAATATATCAATTTTAAGTTGAAGCACAATGCATTTGTTGGAGCTCTGCAGCATTTTCTGCTTTTAATTTCTATAATTTGCAAAAGTAAAAATAGAATTTGAATATTATTACAGGCATTTCCCCAAACATCTGCACTATGTATCAGAAAAGGAACAATCAGTGAATTGTATAATATCCACTACGCCTCAGCATTCAGTGAGTCTTTCACTTCATATAACAAAACTTTCTTCAACCTGATCAAATCAATCAACACATCTCCAGAGTCTAAAAATCATGTAATTTGTTTTTTCAACACATTGACGCACATCATATGGTCATTATAAATGGTCAAACTATGAATATTTTACTGTGCTCCTAAAAGTACAATATAAAATTCATGAGATTTTGTTTTTTACATTTTATTGCAAGAAAAAACAAATTGATGACTTTCTGCTGTTCTTGTTTCACATCCTGATTGTTTTCTGATAAAAATCAAATTACACTCCATTTCTTTGTCTTAGCTAACACCAGATATACTTTATTTTCTCTGGGAGTGACATAAACAGATCATTAAATAGACATAGATGTTGACATTGACACAGTTGAGCATAAAATTTAGAATTACGGAAGACCTGGTTGTTTTTCAATTAATTGCATTTAACCAAGAGGTTTGATTCTAAAAATTTCCATTTGGCCCAATTTGTGTTTTAAAACTGGCTTATTTTAATTTTTACATATAAAAAAATACAGACACACAAATATTGCTGCTGGCATCTTATTTTATCAGAGATGAATTGATTACAGGTAGCAAACTCACCAATGATTTAATCAACTGGATTATATTTATTAGTAATCAAGTGAACTTTTGATTCATGTTTGAAGCTAAAAGTTGATGGTTGATTATAAGAAAAAGCAACTCATTATTTTTTGCTGGATGTTTGACCTGCAGATTTAAATGACAGGACGGATCTTCATGCTGATGCTCTTCAGGGAGTAACCAAGTCCCTTCCATTGAACCCATTCCACTCCAACATCAAGGAGTGTGTTGTCAGCCCCCAGCGATAAACCCCGTTAGGGTTTGTATAGTGACAAGATTTTGTACCAGAAAGCACCGATATTTTTGGCACAGTTGCCGCTCATCTCATCCTGGTCTTTGTCAAAAGTGGTAATTTCTGTTGTGATAGGAAAGGCTGTCTCCTGCAGAAATAATAATAGGATACAAACTATATGAATAAAACAGACATTCAGTTGAAAGCTTGAATAGTGAAAAAAAATACAAATTCTGCGTGATCCAACATCAATAAAATTGTAATTTCAATATTTAACAAAAATGCTGACTTTGTGAAAAGTTGATAATGTTTTGTGAAATAAATTATGAGTTATGTTAATTTCTTACTGGGATATTATCAATGAGATCAATTAAATTTACTTTGTGCTATTAACTACCAACATCAATCTTCCTGCTTCAGAACCATAAGAACAAACTCTGGATTTAGATAAAAACTGACACAACACATTTAATCCAATCAAGGTCTATTTCTCTTAATCCTGATTTGTCTAACTACAGTAAATTAGCTTTATTAATTATCATTATTATTATTATTATTATTATTATTATTATTATTATTATTATTATTATTATCATTATTATTATTATTATTATTATATTATTATTATTATTATTATGGAGTGTATGGTAATACACTCCTGGTGTATTATTATACACCAGGAGTGTGTAATAATACACTCCTGGTGTATATTACACACCAGGATCCATGCTCAGTGCCTTGCTCTACATTTCCAGACTCACTGCATGACTTTCAGACCCAGCACAAGTTGAATTATTTATTTTACAAAGGAATAATTAGTGATGGGCATCATTACGTCCATCCATGAATTCATCCTGACTAGTAAAGTTAGAATGTGTTTTTTCTCATGACTCACCAGCGCCCTTTGTTGTTGAAACCACTCACATGCAGAAGGTAACCATCAACCTCAGCATCGACTTTAATGAAGAGTAAAGAGCAAACTTTTTGTTTCCTTCAAAGTCCTCCATGTCGACCATCAGTTCATAATTCTGACTCCGTGTCAATTCATGGATGTTATCAAGACCTGCACAGACATGGAAACTATTAAATTTAGATTTTACTGAGAGCATTAAACACCTGGTTAATCTGGGTTTGCAGGAACTGAGTTATAACTATGTTATAAGTAAATATATAAACCAACCATACATTGACTAACTGTTTAGGTCGGTGTCTCACCCAGCCAGTACTCTCCAGCAGCGTTTCCAAAGCCTCTCTTGTACTCCGCAAAGGGTCTGTAGAAGTTTTACAGAGCCATCCATCCTCCTCTGGAAAACCTGGAACAACAAAGGAATCTGATCAAGAAGTGAACAACGTTCTCACTGACACACTCAGGGTGAAAAGGAAGTGGGTTGTACCAACTCTGAATTGGTATCAATAATCAATATTTAACATGACAAAACTGATCAAATCTTATCTCAGGCAGGTGAAAATGGAAGGACAATAAAGACTCTTCTTTCAACAGAACTTGATGTTTGTTGGATGAAATCCCCAAGAATCCTGAGATAAACCAAGTTGAAGTGTAAACAGAGAGAGTTCATGTAGAGATGGACTCACCGTCCAGCGTCCTCCCTCTGAGTCCATGTCGCAGTAAGCCTTCACACAAACACATTCATGACTTGATACAGTTTTTATTATGTAATGCAATGTCACACTTTATGTGGAAAAATAAATACTATCAAGAAAGTTCAGTTTCAAACAGTCAGTTTATGTAATGTGTATGAAGATTAAGTAAAAACATCCTCAGCATTGTTAACAGATAAACCTCCAGTCTTGGTCCTGCACAGAACTTTAATCTGGATCTTCATTTTTATGAACAAACCAAACATAAAGTTCACCTTAATAGCAGTGAATATCCAGTTGGATAGATGATGTAAACTCCACTGGGAAGTTTCTTGTTAGTATTGTAGATGTCATTGCAATCACGTCGCAGTTTGTCGTCAGTCGCTTCACAGCTGATCAGCAGTGGAGCCAGGAGGAAGAGAAGTGATAACAGCTGGAAGACAGAACATCTTCTGAACATCATCAGAGAAACTCTGATTAACGTTCATTTAGTCAGATTAAACCTGATCCCTGATCTTGTCCTGCATGTGGCCTGTAAGCTGTGCTGCCAGATTTTCAGTCAGAATTATGCTGAATTCTGCCTTAACAAAGGTTTCTGGTTGGTTTGATCCTCCATTTTTTAACAACTCATTTCATCAGTCCTGTTAACAAATGTTATTTCCAGAGCCAAAACTATGTACAGTGTTTACATGCATTGAGTGTTTGGATAAATTTAAACACTCAAATTCACTCAACATTTCAGTGACTGAACAAAATATCAAACATTTTAAATAATTAACAAACTCACTAGAAGTTGTTTAATTTTACATTTTTTGACTACATAGTGAAATATCTTGTTGTTGTTTGTGTTCATATTCTAATCATTATTGATGTTTCATAATTTGTACATTTTATGTACAATGTCTCTGTGCTGATTTTTATTTTGGTCATTTGTTGTTAACAAGATTTTAAACATTAAAAATACCTTTCCTTGTTAAAATAAATAAAGATAGATGAATTATTTTTTATTTTTTTACAGTGCAAGTTACAGGCTTACCTTCATCTTTACTGTTGATCTGGATAAATTGATCAAACTTGATGAAAATCTGGAGTTTGACTTGCAGCACAATGAAATTCCCTGTTAATGTAAAACATAGAGAAACTTTAGTGGACAAACTCAGTTGTAAATGAATTCATGAGTTCATCTCTCACCTGCAGCTGGAATGAACTTGATTCCAAACTTCTGCTTCTCCTCTGTGTCTCCGACGTTCAGACTCCGTTATTTATACCTGCTGATGTGTCACCTCACCTTGATGATCAGGAATCTAAATCAAACATCACCTGATGAAAAACATGAGCTTGGTTTCTTCATTTTACATTTTACTTCTTTCTGAACTTTGGATAATGAGTCTCAATTGCACAAATAATGCAAAATAAAATGTAACATTAATATAACTGGAGATGCGGCTTGCATGGATTTTGGACGGTTGAATTGATGGATGAGCCACCTCAAATTCATCTGTAGCAAAATTTTTCAATCATGTTTTGCAACCATTTACTGTTTTCTGAGAGTTTTAGTAGAAATTTCCAAAAATGTTCTCCTGCTCTTCCATCAGCTTTGTTGAAATAATTTGCCCTTCTGGCTTAAAAAAGGACTTAATATTTGAGGGATTTTAAGAAAGTACATAAAATCTGAAATGGTCGATGATCTGAATGCAAAGGCTCTTCTTGATTAGTTTTTGTGAATATACAGTAAAATGTGTTGTTTAACTATAGTTCATTATAATAATATAATAATTCAATATATAACGTAATTATGAAACCCAATTGTATTACATTATTACATAATGCAGTGTAACAAGCTCAAAGAAACATCAGAACATTCAGAGTCATTGAAGATCACCTTCAAAACACAAACAGTCTCAACTCAATAAAAAGTTAGATCAATCTTTTTACCAAAGCAGAATCAAAATTACCTTTTTTCCTTCACTTCAGCGTCAGACAAGCTTCAGCTCTTCTGTCTGGAGGTCCTGGAAACAGCTGCTCTTATACACAGTCACTGACAGACCTGTCAATAATACACTAGTGACTCTATAATGTTTCAGTGAAATCAAAGCAAAGATGTGATTTTTACTTTATGACTTCAGCATCAGGGATTATTTTCACTGATGACATTTTTTGGAAAAAGGATTTAGCTTGTACTTCCTGTCCTTGTTAATTCATTTCCTGTTTTTGTGTTCTGAGTTGTGATGTTTTGAATCCTTTGTGATGTTTCAGTGAAAAGTCCCAGGATACATATTAATCTGACGAAATTAGGATTTTATTCCTAACAAGCCCAAGTTACAAATAGATCCATACAAAGCAGGAAGTAACAACAGGAACAAAATGTTATTTTTCAACTTTCTTGACAAAGTTAAAAAAATGCCCCGTTTTCATATTTCCTAGTGTGTGCTCACTAGCACACACACTATGCTAGTTTATGAATACAAGCCTGAAAATTCACATGTCCAAATTTTCCATTCACTTGGCTGCAGAGGGAAAAGCAATTTCTCCTCTTTGCATAAATGAACAGGTTGATGTTGCCTCTTGTGTGTCGAGACCAAAAGAATCTAATTCTGTAAATGATCTTGAAAGATCTCTTAGGATAGCCTGACATGTTTAGCTCTGTTACATTTTAACAAATATGTTAAGATGTAACATATTTGTTACAACTTAACATCTCAGTCAAAAAGTAACAGAGATGTTTAGATGTAACATCTTTGTTACATCTTAACTGAGATGTAATTGAATCACCAACTTTGATTCAGTTGTTGCAATTGACTGCAGCCGTTTGTTGATGTAGAATAATTAAGATTGCCATAAAAACTCTCATCTTATATCAGGCATGTTGTGGGACCACATTGTCTCAGCTGTGCTGTGTTTCCTGTGAGCTCTGAGAAAACAGAACGTTAGCTTTGGTTCCTCTAGGCAGTGGCCTCAGTCTGCATTCCTCCAGGACCCGAGTCCTGCAAGTTTCAGATGTGTCCCTTGACCTAAAGACTTTAATTTAACTGTCTCACTGGCATGCAGTGAGGCTCTGCAGAGCTCTGTTGATGAGCTGCTATTGGAGCCAGGTGTGCTGAAGTATCTAAAAGTTGCAGGACACCAGGAAGACTTCCTGCCCCAACAATCAGGAATCAAAGGAAGGATTGGTGACCAGGACTGGTTGGTCAGGAGGTTCTTCTGTCATAGGGAAAAACACAAAAAGTGAATTTAATTGTTCAAAGAAACATAAAATCAACACAATTTAGTTTAAATTGCTTTATTAAATTCGAACAAAGAAAATGTTTATTTGTTTAATTTATTTTGAGTGCGACACACTGAGTGCCTGCACCTTCGCCATGTTACTCTGGAGACAGAGTAGTCAGGTTGTTCATTAATACCTGCAGCTGATTATTGATACCTGAGTTTCCAAAGAATCTCAGGAAATGTTAACGGGAACAGGGTTATTCTACGGTCGCATGGAAGGAAAATCTTTGCACTTTTTATATTTAGGTCAATGAAAGAAACGAGAAAACACAGGAAATGAGTAAAATAATAAACTACAGATCATATGGATTTGTTCTGGCATAAAACTGGTCTTTAGATTTGGTTTAAATATTCAGAAATAAAATGATCAGTGTAAAAAGAAATCGGATGAAATATAAATGTGTATTATGCCATGTTTGAAGATTTTCAAGTGTTTCCTGAACTGCATATGCAGGTTGTGCTTTAATCTGTTGCTGTGGGCTGTAAATGTTTATGACTCCAGAGATGTTTTCAGGTCAATGTCATTAACCCTCGGGCGTTCCTAATTTTCTATTTATGCCCCTTCTCCTATACTTCATTTGTTTTCATTATGTCTCAGTGTTTTTTTTGTTGTGCTGAGGAGCTTGGTGTGAGGGGTTGGCAGCAGATTGAGAAGGCAGGTGCAGGTCAAATGCAAGTTCAATTTGTGCATCAATCCAGTTTCTTTAATGTGTGTGTGGGGGGGCGGAGGCAGGTGTGTGTGTATGTGTGCGTATGTATTGGAGAGAGTTTGTGTGTGGCTTTGAACTCTTTTTCTGGAGTTCAAATGGTTGTCAGAGCAGTCAGGTTGTTCATTAATACCTGCAGCTGATTATTGATACCTGAGTTTCAGAGAATCTCAGTAAATGTTAACATGAACAGGGTTAATCTGCGGTTCCATGGAAGGAAAATATTTATACTTATTATGTTTAGGTCCATGAAACAAAATGAGGAAAAGTAGGAAATGAATAAAATAATAAACTGTAGCTCACATTGATGGTTTCTGGAATAAAGCTGGTCTTTAGATTCGGTTTAAATATTCATGCAATCCAGATATAAAGCAATGTTTTTAAAAAAAGATTCCTCAGAATAAATTAATATCAGAATGATCAATTTAAAAAGAAAATTGATGAAATATAAATGTGTAGTATGTCATCTATGAAGGTTTTCATGAGTTTC